GAAGAATATGTAGGTTGATAAATGAGCAGCAGGTAAAGCCTGGCTAAGTAACCAGAGGTACAGAGGGCACTGGAAAGTTGATTACAGATATGTGCTTCATTTTAGCAGCTCTGGCCTAAATAAGGCAGTGCAGAAACTGCCAAACTCAAGAGTAGCAAAACCCTCTGGTCCCAAGAAATGACTAAAACCAGAGGGTTTCTTTAGCAAATGCAAAGCACTGGTTTTAAATAAATTTTGATGTGTTTTGGAATGCTTAAGGGATGCTTGGTTTGTGGGGTTTCTCTGTAATTGCAAATATCAGTTCCCTGGTGGTAACCACAGTGTAGTTAAGTAAGTCTCTTAAAATCCTCTTTCTTCATAGTAAATATGAAGTGACTGGAAGTTCCCTGCCCTTCAAAGAGAAGGATGGACAACTTCATTCATGGTAAGAAAGTGCCCTGCAGAACAGGGACCAGCACATGGAACTTGTTCCTGTGGGTTTGTCCAGGTGCTGGGACTCAAATATCTCCTGATTCCAGCAGCCAGGTCTGGGGGGAAAACTCAGCAACCTCATGTTGAGAAAAGCTGAGTAATTCTAAGAAAACTGCTGGAAAAGTGCATTTCTGGTCCTGAGGATGAAGAGGTGGTTGATGAATGCTTTAAAATCAAGTGGTGTTAAGATCTGGTCAAATGGTGCTCTCAGGTACAGGACAGACCTGAGGACCACAACTAATGATCTTCAGTTTTACAACATAAAAGGAAAGGATGCTAAAATTAGCCTGACTTTTGTCTCCACCAGGAATGGTTAATATAGAACTAAGTATTTATTTTTAAGTAGCAACTACTCTGTTTGTAGTTCTGAGATTAAGGGGCGTTTATCTTATTTTAAAAGTTACATTTCTGTAAGTAAACTGAAATTGTTTGCCATTCCCAGTTGACATCCAGTGTAACCTACCAGCTTTGTTTTGGTCTGTGTGCCAGCTTTCCTTGGTATTATTCCCACATGGTGAGTCTGACTCTTTAAATCCACAAATCAGATCTTCACAGTTCCTGTTGGAGCATCACTGATCAGCAGAATTGTGGCTGTGCAATAATTTTATGTCAAAAAGGACAGAAACTGTAAATCCAGGTGTGATGATAGAAGCAGCACTAGGCTGATGCAGTGACACTGTTGCCTGCTGCTCCCCAAATTTACTGCGTCCTTGGTTCCTTCCTAACTGAAGGTGTTTGGAGTGCCAGGCTGTGCCTTGCATGTTAAATAGTGCCTGCTTTTGTTTTATAGCTGCAGGACAATCAGGCTTTTATTAGAAATGCTGCTCTCTCCCCCAGGAAGTTTGTGTTGGCTGCTTTAACCTTTCTGTCCCCTCAGTTACCCAGAGAAACCAAGTGCTCAAACCTGTTGCATTTATTTATCACTGCTCTCCTTTGGTAGCTCCCTTTTTCTTTGTGCTGTTCTGCCACAGCTCCCACACCATTTCCCACTGAGATCTTCCCTTTGAGTAAAAGATCCTGGGATTCAAATAATCAAAAGAAAGTGCTTATAGAGAGAGAAAGTTCTTCCAAAAAACAACCAGGGTTAGATGTGGTGATGCTGGATCCTTCAGGCCAGAAGGAAAAACCTCAATTTCTGACTTTCTTATGTTACTGTTTTTCTCAGAGGCAGAAGGGGAAATTGAGATGTGATATCTAAAGTGAGGAAATAAATACCACTTGTAGCTATTTCCTGGCTGCAGATGATGTGGATTTTAGAAGACAGCAGCTGCAGTAGCTCTCACAGCCTCTTTTTACACCAGCCTAGACTCTTTTTGCCTGTAAAGTTAATTGCCTTATGTCAGTTTACAGTGGAAGGTGATTAAGTATTTAGGTTGTCCAGTTTCAGTGCCCCTTTGGAATTTTAAACTCTGCACTCATGAAACTCCAGCTCAGAGCAAGAGCTAAGGTGCTTTGCAGTTAATCTCAGCAAATCCAGCAGGCAAAGTTGAAATTCATCCTACCAGGGATTTAGCTGTAATCTCCTGGGACAATGCATGGGCAGACACCTTAGCTGGGGCTGGGCTGGCTGGGCAGAAATGCCTTCCCCTTGTCAGGGCAAAGTTTGGGACAGGGAGCTGGGCTGGAGAGCTGTTGTCCAGGTGTTATTCCAAATCTGAGCTCACCAGCATTGAGAAATGCATCCTGTCATGACCCTGAGCTGGCCAAAATATTGATTAATGCTTCAGATGAGGAGATGAAATGTATTTTAAAAATAAACAGAGATGGCTTAGATATCAGTAAGAACGAAGAATTCTGAAATAATCAAAGTATAACATCTACACTTATAGTACATATTCATAGTACAAGTTGCAGAGTAACAAAATAAACAGCAGGTGTGATGGGGAGAGGACAAACACAGTTGTCAGGAGCACCCTGTCATCCAGAAAAGCATCACTTCTTGATTTTAAAATAAGTTTGTTTTAAGTGAAAATCAGGAAATAAAGCCTCGCCAGGAGCACAAGTCCTGAGCTGGGGGACCAGCCCTCAGAGAGGATCTGGTCTGGGTGTGGGAGATTCCAGCAGGACTGGCTGAGGGCATTCTGTAGGGAAGAAATTCCTCCCTGTGAGGGTGCTGAGGCCCTGGCACAGGTTTTCTATAGAAGTTGTGGCTGCCCCTGGATCACTGAAAGTGTCCAAGGCCAGGTTGCACAGAGCTTGGAGCCACCTGGGGTAGTGGAAGGTGTTTTTTGGGTTCAGGTGCAGATTTCCAAGAGCACTCAGAGCTAGGGGCTCTATCTCAGCAGGCTGGGGCCAGAAATCCTGGAGCACTGAGGGAATCCTGCTGGAATCCCTCCCCTTTTCCCTGCTGCAGGGGCTGGACAGCAGAGATAAAATGCAGATTTGGGCATGCTTTGTGGGGCTGCCCATGGAACAGAAGGTTTCACAATCCTGGTGGCTGGTGTGTGCTTCCCTGGAAAGGAAGGCTCAACCCCTGCAAGTGGGACAAACCTGGAGATGGGGACTCATTCCCAGCCCTGCCAGTCCCTGTCTCTGCCACCCAACTTTTCAGTTGTTGTAGGAACAGAACTGTCTCTTCCTTCTGGAGTGATTCAAATGTGAGTGCACTTGTGCTGTTGAGATGGGGCCAGATCTTTTTTTGCCCTCTGGAATCTCTACAGCAACTTCCAAACTGGGATTTTTAATTAATTCTTAATAGAAACAAAGTGTGAGCAGCACTCCTTGTATGACCAATAACACCCTTGCAATCTATTTCTTTTTCTTGGGCTCCATTTGTTCTGGCATTACCAAATGCCACTCCCAGCCGTGGCTGCCTGCACTAGAGTCATCCTCAGCAGAAATGTTATTATTATATTATTTTAATATTCATTTACTAGAATGTGCTTCACTTTATGTACATAAACACTGCATGAATGACCCTCCTCCCCTGCTTAATTTAGCTTAATTCCTCTGTCTACTCCACATACACTGAATTACACACAAATCCCCACCCTTCACAGGCTTTTCCCTGCCAGTGAATCCAAGCACATCCTGCAGTCACAGGAGCTGCTGGGTGTCCTGTGCCCTCCTCCTGTCACTTAATGCCATGGCATTTCCCAGGGCAGCAAGCAGGGAAAGAGCTTGCTTGGGCCTTTTCCTGCCAGGTGTAATTTTGGGAGCTGGATTTTGGGTTCTGTGCCACTAGAGGGAAACCTGGGCTTTTGCATGGAAGTAAAGAGAGCTGCAAGATGTTGGAATAGTGTGGGTGGATGAAACACAAACCAGTGTTGCTGTGTATCCCAGGCAGTCTCACTGCTGGGGTAAAAGGTGTGTTGGGTCACACAAATTATCCAACTCCATTTCAATGTGCTGATGGATAAATCAGGATCCTGAGGACATGGTCAAGTGGTGGCTTTGGCAAGGTTAGGATTATCTGGATTATCTCAGAGGGCTTTTCCAAACTTCACGGTTCTGTGATGTTTTCTGGAAGAAAAGATGTCAATTATTGGAGCAATGACAGAACCAGCACCACAGGGAAGAGTCCCTGAGCACCTCCAGACCTGTCACAATTCAGCTGTGTGTACACAACTCCTTTTTCCTGCCTTCAAGGGTGGGACAAACAGAGTCATTACCAAGTGTCTGTTCTTTAATTGCTCCAGTGTTATCTATATATTGTTTGCAGAGGACTCTGAGTGTCGTTAAAGAGGCTTGGAGGAAAGGCTGATTTTACAATCATGGAATGGTTTAGATGGGAAGGGACCCTAAAGCCCATCCTATTCCCCCTGCCCTGGGCAGGGACACCTTCCACTATCCCAGGTTGCTCCAAGCCCCATCCAACCTGGCCTTGGACACTTCCAGGGATGGGGAGTCCACAACCTTCCCTTCTTTCATTTACCTTCCCCATGCTTGGGGTGATGAGGCTCCACAGCAGTTTCATGGGATCTGAGTCTCTTTCTGTTTGTGTTTAGGCTGCCCCAAAATCAGCAGCATTATGGGATGCAGTTTCTCCCAAGCATTTGATGTTTTTTTGTGGTCTTAATCTGGATGAGACTTGCTGAGGCTCATGAGGCTTTCCAGTCAAAGGCTGACCAGCTGTTTCTGCTGGAAATTCTCCCTGTGGTTCAGGGAGCCGTGGGAAGTCAGGTTGTCAGGGCAGGAGTCGCATGAGCGAACGGGAGGTAACAGATCTGTTCCCTTCCATTTTAAGAGTGACCTTTAACTCACCAGACTTTGCAAAATAACTCCAGCAGGATCCTGCTGGAAGTTTGTCTCCAGAGCCCAGCGTGCCCCAGCCCTGGCCTGTGGATCTGGGAAAACACATCCCAGCAGGGCTGGGCTGCTCCTACCTCCCTGCCTGAGGGAGATCCACAGGGATTGACACTGCTGGGCTCCATGGGATGGCTGGGAGCAGTGCCTGTGGCAACCAGGAGGTGACAGAGAAGACAGGAATCCTTTCCAGTGAGGGACAGCAGTGTGGAATTGCGAGTTCTCCCTGACATTGATCCCCTGCCACAAGTGTGAGGACACGGCTTCGGTTACAGAAGGTGCAAGGAGTTATTTTTGGGTGTTCAACAGCTCCCCCGAACTCCTGGCTCATAGGTGGGCCATTGCTGTGTCAAGGTTTTGGGGGTTAATTTTGCCATATTTGACTTTTTAAATGCATCTGTGTGAAAAAGGGACATGGAAGACGCTCCCCTGCCTCTGGTGACGGTGCCAACAGCTCCCTACAGCGACCAGAAACCGGGAACCAGCGGCTTGAGGAGGAAGACCTTCTACTTTGAATCCAAGCTGAACTATTTGCAGAATTTTATCCAGAGTATATTTTTTTCCATAGACCTAAGGGATCGCCAAGGAGCCTCTCTGGTGGTTGGAGGTGATGGGAGGTACCTCAATAAGTCTGCAGTGGAACTGATTGTCCAAATGGCTGCTGCCAACGGGGTTGGTAAATGTTAAAGGGCTGAATTCCTGTGGGGTTGGCTGAGCAGAAATCCATCAGAAATTAGGCACTGTAAGATTTAATTTCCCCAAAGGCTTTGTTTAACTGTTAATAGCGATGTTTTTAATGGCAGATCAGTTGGGGAGTGCAGAAATTACTGGTTTTTCACTCTAAGTGTTGCAGTTGGGCAGGGAGTGCACGTGGAGAAAGGAAAATAAATTCTGCCTGGGGTTTGTGTGTTCCTGTTTTGTGCTTTGACATGTCCCAAGCTGTTGGCACCTGTGGATTTTTCAGTGTTTCCACGAGAATATAAAGCCCTGATACTGTTCAGAAATGAACTACCAGGGAGAGCCACCAGAGTGGCAAAGGAGAACAAACAACCATGTTTTGCCTTTCTCACCAGGTGTAAGTTGTGGCAGTGGGATAAATGCTTAGGGAGCCTTTGAAAATTGATATGAGGGTTAGCAAGTGAGTGACAGCCTTTATAGGGAGCTCAGTTGTGCTGGAATTCTGTGTTTTGGAAGCAGAGCAAGAGGTTTGTGTGTTTGTGCAAGATTGTGGTTCATGCAATGGGCTTTTGTCTTTGTTTCTTTCTGCTTTTTAAAAAGAAAAGGCTCTGCTGTCTATCCTGGATCTCAGTGCAGAACAAACTTTGTGCAAAGGGACCTGGATTTTAGGAATTTGACAAAAAACATGACTAGGGCAGTGTAATCGGTAGTGACTGGGAAAATAGGATGAGATTTTTTTTTTTTCATTTATTTAAAAAATCAATCTATTTTCCATCTTGTGGGGGAAATATCTTCAGGCATTGCAGATTAATGTCTTCCTTTGAAATCAGTGTATGGGCAGAGCAGAAGAGCTGGAAAATGTTCACAGAGCCAGGCTTGGAGTGCCCAGCACCAGGACAGATCTCCTGGTGAGAGGAGATCGGGCTCATCTTCACCAGCTCAGACTCTGCTCTCCAGCAAAGAACTTTTCCTGGGCCCAGGTCTGCCTAAATGGGATTGAGAGGGTGGTTTGGCTATTTTCCATGGATTTTTCTCAGTCTGGCTGGTGCCTGTCAGTGTTGTGCTCAGGGTGTGGGATTGGTGGCTTGGGCTGCATTTCCTGCACGGAAAAGGCTGCAGGGATGGGCTGGGGCCACCATGGAGCTGCAGCCACCAACTTCCATGGCCTGGAAAAGTGTTCCCAGTGTTCCTGGGGGGAGGAGGGGCTGCAGGAGCTCCCTGTGTGCATCCTCATGGGGCTTTCAGTAAAACCAGGGTGGAATTATTGTCTGGATGGTTTGGAAATGCTGTAACCCAAACTTGCTGCACGAAGTGGGTCTGTTTTGAGAAATCCATGAAAGGTGTTTGTCCATCCTTGCAGCCTGAGGTTTTCCTCGTAAGAAATTCCACAGACTCAAAAAGGATCATGTGTAAATCGTTCAGCACATTGTTACACTGTTAACCTTCCCCAGTGGTTACCACAAAGAATTCAGCATTGGATGGGTGGGGAATGGCAGCTGAAAACCTTGGGAAGCCAAGGAAGACCCAAATCACAGAGCAGCTCACATGGAAACCAGCGTTTCTTCCTTTCCTTATTTTCCCCTTCTTCTGCAGCATTCCTGGGGCACTGATGCCCAGGGGTGCTGCAGAATGTGACCCTCAGAGGGAAACTGGGGAGCAGGAGGGAAAGTTTTGCGTGAGGTCCCATGAATTCTCAGGGAAGCTGAAGGAGCAAGGTTTGGAGGCTGGAATAAAGCACAGGACAAGGGGTGTCTGAGAATGAGGGAAAAGCAAACCCTGCATCAGATGAAACGTGAGGTGCAATAAATGAGTGATCAGTGTGTGGGCACAGTCAGGGCTCCAGTATGAGCTGCTGTGGGCAGCTGGAGGCAGGGCCCTCACTTTGGGTTTGTAAAGTGCTTTTTTCACATTTCTGCTGTTATTTGCTAGAAGTGCAGCTCTGCCAGCAGCTGGGCTGTGACAGCTGGGCTGGGATGGGCAGCGAGGTTGGGGCTTAGCACCTGGCAGTGCCAGGGGACAGGAATCACAGCCATCCTGTGCCCTTGGCTCAGCACCCACCACAGCTTGGGAATGCTCCTCTTGATTCCTGCTCCAGCTTGTGACGGAATGAAATCCCTCTTTTCCCAGTGTGTTCTGGGTCTGACCCCCTTGGTTGGTGCAGAGGAGTCTGCTGTGGTTTTCAATCCTGTCACCTCATCTGGGGCTGTGGGAAGGAGTGTCTTCTTCCAGGGAATTCTCCACCTCCTGGTTTATTGCCTGGGTTCTGGAGCTGGTGTATCGCTCAGCACATTGTTCTGGATCCAATCTCAGAGATATCCTTGGATTTATGGGAAGGAGGTGTGCTGCCCACTGCAAGGAAGAACATGCAGCTGCTCCCAGAATGTTCAACTTTTGTGTTCTTTTGGCTTCTCTCTGCTCCATTGTGTGTTTTGAAGGCAAATTTTGATACCACAGCCAGAGGGAATGCTGTTTTTTGTGGTGTTTAATGCCTGTGGAGAGCTCAGCCCTTCAGTACATCCAAGTGCAGCATTCATGGAGGGAAATGCTCCAACAGAGCGGGGTTGGATATGCTGTGGGGAGCTTTGCAGGAACAGGGCTGTGCTTCACCTGTTGGCAGAGTTTGGGGTTTGGGCTGTGTGGGAAATAGTAAAGATAAGAAGACTTCCAGAAAGCTGTGAAAGCAAGCCTCAGAAACAGAGCAGAGAAGTTAGAGCTAGCTGAAAATAGAGAAGTTATAGAAGTACAGCAAGCAAAGACATGAAACAATAGTTTGAGTTTTAGGCTTGGCCAAGATAGACCTTAAGACTGCAGAAAAACATGCTTAGCATCATAGTAGAAGGTTTTAAACTTAATAATTGTGTATTGTGTAGTGTTAATAGAAAGCATACAAGCAAACATAGTGTGAAGCAGATGTAGCTGTGCTTTTAGTGATTGGCTAGAACAATTATCTGTAAGCTTTAGCAATATGCTATTGGCTAGAAAGTTTTTAAAATGCTCTGTACCAAACAAATCTTTGGCTGCTGCTGACAGGACATGAGTTGTTGCCATATTTCAAGTGTCTCAACCATGTTGTGAGACTGATGCCACAATAAAGCCCAAGGAGAATGTCCCAGCAGTCCTGTCCCATTTGTGCAAACCTCCAGTACTGTCAGTGCAATGGGCCAAGACTGGGCAACAAGTTACATGAACTCCATGCATTTACAGAAGGCTGATTCATTCTCTTTATTATGAAACCCACTGCTTTTTTATACCCTAGTTCGCTACACGTGGACTTGATTAATTTAATTAAATGTAATTTTAATTAAAACGCTATCACCACTGGTTAATTAAGAACCACCCTTTGGTAAACAAATCTCTGTAACACATTCCACATTCACAATACCAGGTGTAGCAAGTTAAGATGAGAATTGTTTCTCGCTCTTTTCTCTGATCCTCTGACAGCCTTTCCCAGAAGGATGCCTGGGAAAGCTGTCTGCTTGTCTCTGTGGCCAGAAGCAGACAGTGTGGCTGTCACACCAGCACAGGCTGGCTCGGGGCTTTGCCCTCAGAGAGTTTTGTGCTCCTCCCCTGCCAGATCGGGCGCCTGGTGATCGGGCAGAACGGGATCCTGTCCACGCCGGCCGTGTCCTGCATCATCCGCAAGATCAAAGCCATCGGGGGCATCATCCTCACGGCCAGCCACAACCCCGGCGGGCCCAGCGGCGACTTCGGCATCAAATTCAACATTGCCAACGGAGGTCAGGCCCTTCCTGCTGCCTTCTTCTCACTCTTGTTATTGCTCTTTGTTTCTCGTGTCCACCCTGTGGGATTAAGCCCTTTTCTGACCCAGACATGGGGTAACTGAGGCGTTTTAAAAACTTCTGTTCCATTTTCAACCCAACCGTTTGGTTCCCTTCCAACCCAAACCATTTTCAGTTTCATGGGAAGGGTGAGACAATTCAGATGTTATATTCACTCTATTACAATCAGAAGCCAACTATTTCCTAATTACAGTACACTGTAAGTGTTTCTTGGCCTATCAGCTTTAGTCACACCATGCTGTAAATGCCTTAAAGCCAATCCTTTACAATAACTCTACATTGGTCCTACTACAATACTGCAACACAATACATCTTTCACTGTTCTATTTCTCTATAGTATCTGGTCTTATTTGCAAGGCCACCCATTGGAAACTTGTTTCTAGTTCCATTTCTCTCAGCAATGTTTGTCCTATTTCTAAGTCAGCATTTCTCATCTCAAAGTTTGCATACAGATGCACACTGTGTGAGCCTTCTGTCAGGCTTTGAGAATTCCCTACAATTCATTTCCCACTCCACCTGAGAATCCAATTTTCTCTTCATATCCCAGGAATCAGAGCCCTGAGCATTGGTTTCCCTAGTGGAGAATGTGATGCTCTGGTCCCCTCATTCCCTGAGGTTCCTCTTCCATTCCCAGCCCAGGTCTTTGCAGTATTCCTGAAGTTCACTCCTCTTGCAGCTGGACTCTTTTAACATCTTCCACTTGCCCATTTCATTTTGCAGGTCCTGCTCCTGAAGCCATCACAGATAAAATTTTCCAAATCAGCAAGAAAATTGAGGAATATGCAATCTGCCCAGATCTCCAGGTGGACTTGGGCACCATTGGGAAGCAGCAGTTTGACTTGGAGAACAAATTTAAGCCATTTACAGGTAAACAAATGTTCCTCCTCTTGGCAAGGCTGAGGAATTGTGGTGTTTCTGTGACCTTTCAGACCTCTCCTCATCTGTTGCATAATCCCGGTGAGGACATTGCTCCTAGCATTTAGTTATTTGTTGATTTTGATTGATACCATTTTCTGTCCTACAGAAGTTTCTACTTCAGTAGCAAAACCTTGATCCATCAAACTTTCCTAAAATCAAAGGCTGTTTTTTCCTGTGAGGCAAACATGTACTTGAAAACAGAAAAATGCAGTTACAGTGCATTTTCCTAATTAAAAATTGCTGAGTTTAATCTTTCAACTGACTTTTTTCCATGGTTTCACATATAAAAGTTGTTGCTGTGAGTGGAAAAGCTGTTACATTTTACATGTGACTTTTGTCAGTCAGCAATGAAATATGAAAAGAAATCATAAAAAGACTTTTTAAAATACTGCAAGTATTTTTTATCATCTCCTGGTGCTTGTAATTAACAAAGAAATAAGTTATAAGATGATAAAAGTTGGTATTTCTCTCAGTCTCTATTTCTTTGTAGAGGGATTTTTATGCTGTATTTTGTTCTTATGTTGGCTGTGAAGGTGCAACTTTTTGAACTATTAAGTTCACACTTCCCATTGACTTTAGTGGAAATTAAAGATCTGATTTATATACAAATTTTTAAATTTAAGTGAAGTAGGATTGAGCCCTCTGGAAGGAAGTCCAGGGAGCCTTAACTGGGAGCAGAGTTCGATTTTTTTGGTCCACTTGTGACCTGATTAGCAGGGAGAGCCTGTAATTAAATCCCTAATTTAGCCCCATTATTCCTGTCCTTATTCTGATTCTCTGGGCTGTCCAAGGGCTTTGTGCTGAGCCCTGGCCCTTCACTCTGAGGACCCTCAGCACAGCAGCAGGGCTTGGTTATCACAGTTCCAGCCTGTGAGGGTTGATCCCTGGCTCCTGCTCTTTTCCAGTGGAAATTGTGGATTCTGTGGAAGCCTATGCCAGCATGCTGAGGAATATCTTTGACTTCAGTGCCTTGAAGGAGCTGCTCTCAGGGAAGAACCAGCTCAAGATTCGCATCGACGCCATGCACGGGGGTAAAAAGGGCTGGGCTTGGGGCACTGTGGGGTCAGGGGTCCTTGGGGATTTGTCACCTACTTCAGACAGGAATTTATATTGCAACTGTGGGGTTTGGTTTGTAGCACACTGGATTCTTATTTTTGGGAGCAAACTTTTTATGTCTTGTGTTATTTTCTTTTGTCAAGTGTTGTGTTTCGGGGGCTGGAATGAGCTGATCTTTAAGGTCTCTTCCAACCCAAACCATTTTAGGATTCTGTGAAATGTTTCATGCAACCCTGAAATGGTTTGGGCTGGGAGGGACCTTAAAGCTCATCCAGTTTCACCCCTGCCATGGGCAGGGACACCTTCCACTAGCCCAGGTTGCCCCAAACCCTGTCCAACCTGGCCTGGGACACCTGCAGAGATGGGGTGGATTTTGATATGAGCTCCTAAACCAAAAACCACCCAAAGTGACCCAAACTGAGCAGCCTGAGGTGGGTGGCACTATGGCTGGTGCAGAGCTGCCTGGAGGCTGAGCCAAAATCTTCCTCTCTGTTTTGCTGAGACAGTTGTGGGCCCTTATGTGAAGAAGATCCTGTGTGAGGAGCTGGGAGCCCCAGCCAATTCAGCTGTGAACTGCACCCCCCTGGAGGACTTTGGGGGCCACCACCCCGACCCCAACCTGACCTACGCTGCTGACCTGGTGCAGACCATGAAGACAGGAGAGTATGACTTTGGAGCTGCCTTTGATGGAGATGGGGTAAAGGATCTGCTCAGAATTCCCCTTCTTTCCCTCTGACCAGCTCTGGAGACTGAGGTGCACCTTTTCTCTCCCTCTCCCCTCTGTAATCATGAGTGAAGTGAACCACTCGCTGCAGTTTGCCACCACAGAAATAGTTGGATACTCTTGTCAATAATCCCAAGCTGTATTTAAATAACTTCACAGCTGTGAAAAATCAGCAGGGAGGCAAAACACTATGGAGACACTACTATGTAATTTTCAAAAAACCTCTGGGAACTGTTGGGTTTATGGGCTGGGCAGAAAGCTGAGCTGTGCCTGTGCTGTCTCCCCCAGGACCGGAACATGATTTTGGGCAAGCATGGCTTCTTTGTCAACCCCTCTGACTCAGTGGCTGTCATCGCTGCCAACATCTTCAGCATCCCCTACTTCCAGCAGACCGGGGTGCGTGGCCTGGCCCGCAGCATGCCCACCAGCGGGGCCCTGGACAGGTAACAACCCCCCCCAGGGCAGGTAAACAACCCCCCCAGGGCAGGTAACAAACCCCCTGGGCAGGTAACCAACCCCCCCTGGGCAGGTAACAACCCCCCTGGGCAGGTTACAGCCCCCCCAGGCAGATAAACAACCTCCCTGTGGGCAGGCACAGGGCAGGGAGCCCTGCCAAGGCACGGTGTGCCCCTTTCCATGTGTTTCACCCTGACCCATCCCATATATTTGCTCTGGTGAGGAGTGTGGCAGTGCCAGGGCAGCAGCGAGGTTTGATGGGTTAAACCCTGACTGGGGGGTTTGATGGGTTAAACCCTGACTGGGGGGTTTGATGGGTTAAACCCTGACTGGGGGGTTTGATGGGTTAAACCCTGCCTAGGGATGTGGCAGAGCTGAGCTGAGCTCCTGGCTCTTTCTCTTCCCTATAGATAAGCCCAAACAAATTACTCTACTAACCCTTCTTTTCCTTAAATTTGATAGTGATGCTTTCTTGGTGAAATGCTTTGAGATTTGCAGCCTAAAATCACTTTGAAGAGTTGTGTGTTTGTATCTGTTCTGTAAATGCACGTCCCACCCATCTCCCAGATATCACACTGGGATGAAATTGAGGGATTTTTCTAAAGCAATGGCATTCCTTGCCTTCAGTGGCACCCCAGGAGGGCTGCTGATCCCATTTCCCTGGAGAGCACCAAGAATCCAGGGATGTGACTTGGCCTTCTTACCTTGGCAGGGTGGCCCAGGCCACAAAGATTGCTTTGTATGAGACTCCAACAGGCTGGAAGTTCTTTGGAAACTTGATGGATGCAAACAAGCTGTCTCTGTGTGGAGAGGAAAGTTTTGGGACAGGTAAGTCAGCATTCCCAATTTCACCCATGATGGTGGTGTTCCTCCTCTTAGTTGTTTATTCCTTAGAGCTTGGGATTTATCTTTCATCTGCAGTTGTTAATACTTGTAAAATACTAAAATATAAAAAAGCTTGGAGGAATTGGTGTGGAAATGAACACAATGCTAAAGGTTTTCTGAGGTAGGAGCTCCTTCTCCTCCAGCTCTCCAGGAAGGCACGTGGAGATGGAAGTTTGGGGGCCTCTTTAGGAGCCCAGTCACTGAGTCTGTGGGGATTAAAAGCAATGCTAAATGTATTTTTCAACTCTTGGTGGCCAGGAAAACCTTCTCAATGTTTTCATTTCTGGAAAGAAATACGGTTTGGAGCACGGAGTTTTATTAGGGAAGGTTTCAGGTCACTATTAAATCTCTGAGCTTAATAGGGCCCTCATTTTCCTGTTCTGAAAACAAGGTATGATTTATAAAGTTTAAATTAACACTTGCCTTTGAAAGTCTAAGTGAGCTATTGAGTTACTGAGAAACAAAGTGAACATCACAAGGAATTTACTGGGGGTGTGCAGGGAAGCTGATGGGAGCAGGATTTGCTCCAGGTCAGAGCAGGGTGCTCAGGACAGTCAGGATTCCCAGGAGGTCTCTGCATTCCCTGAGCTCTCCCTGGCATCTCCCCTGTGCTTTTGTGTCCTGTCTGTGGAAATGGACCTTCCCTGCAGGCAGGGCTCTGAATCAGCACCTGACTCCTGCACAAAGGCTGAGTTTTATCTGGTCTGAATTCTCCCTGCAATGTTGTTTTTCCTGTTCTTTAAGGGTCTCTGGTGGGATATGCAAGGCACAAGGTCCTGAGGGAATTTCTCACTCAAACCTTGTGTGTTTCCATACCATCAGCCCAGAAAAACCTTTTAGCTTGTGTGGGGGTGCCTTAAACCCCCAAATACCTGGATTGAAGTGCTTCGTGGAGCTGGGATGCACAGCTTGGCAGGAAAGGATTACCCAGCTTTCCTGGGGCTGAGGAAATGGGATCACAGCTCTGGGGGACAGCAGGCTGCTGTGGGGCAATATTTTTGCAGTCAGATATTACTCTGATATCTGACTGGGATTTGGCTGTGGGTTGGAAGAAAAGGTGAATTTCAGAGAACTTGGTATCTCTGTAAGGAAATCTTGAAGTAAATAATGAGTAAGGAAAGCTTCTGGAGTTTTGCCCTGAGTGATTTCAGCATCTGCTGAGTTTATATCCTGGACTTTGGCTAGTGAGAGGGTAGTGGTGCCTCAGGAGATAAATAAAACCAAATTCCTGGAGCTGCTGATGGGAGATGATCTCAAATGAGCAGCTTCCCAAAACTGTTTCCACCTTTGTATGAGCAACAAGCTCAGTTTCTCTCCATCCCTAAGGGACTGCCTCCCAAAAATCAAAGTGATTCCAGTCTGAGAGAGGTTTGGGATTTTGGCCAGGCAGCAGCACATCCAAGTGGTGGGAGCTGAAGCAGTTTTAGGGGAACAGACTGGGAAAGGGCCCAGGAGAGTTGGACTCCCCTAAAATGCAAAGGGGTTTGCCCATGTGGCAAATGCACTTAGGAAGGAAAAAGGAATGAAAAGGGGTGAGGAGGGTTGGCTGATTGGAAGCTAATGAGGAGTTGTTTGGAGCTGGACAGAATGGGAGTGTTGAAAGGGAGAGAGGTGAAGGAGCAGCCAAAAGACCCAGTAAAAATTGAAACAAACTGTGAGGCAGTGGGACTGGAGTGCAGCAGCAATTAGAGTAATGTGACATGACAGAATTCCTGCTTGCTTCCTTGGGTATTTTATTCTGGCAATAAGTTGATACATCACATGGGACTGGTGTTTATTTAGAATTCCTCTCCATCACCTCTGCCCAGCTCTCTCCACCCTGAGGGACCGTGGGGATAATTTATGGCCACATCTACAACAGTGGGATTTGTGCAAAGCACCACATAACCTCTGTCCTGCCCCCAGCCCTTTCCCAGAGGATTCCCACTCTGGCACTCCTTCAGAGGGTGACATGGCAGCTCTGGAGTGCTCCTGGCATTTCTTTAATACCTGTTTGGAGGTTTTCCAGAGTGGGAAGGAGAAAACTTTGCATCTGTGGGGCAGAGGGTGGAACCAGCACGCCAGAGGCACCGAGTGTGGGCTGGGTGTGCTCTGGGTCATCTGATCCCATTTAATTTGGGGGCTGTGTAAGGTCCAGCACCTCTCGGGTTTCCCAAGGGATAGTGCTGTGTGATCCCACTGTGCTTCCAGGGCAAGGCTGGGCTGGCTCTGGCTGCTTCCTGCTCTCCTTGCTGTGCCAGCTTTAGGGGAATCCACAACAGGAGGCAACGGGCACAAACTGAGGCCCAGGAAATTCCACCTGAACACGAGGAAGAACTTCCTTACTGTTGGGACAGATTGCCCAGAGAGGTGTGGAATCTCTCTTGCTGGAGACATCAAAAATCTGGATGCAATCCTGGGCTCAGGGATGGCCCTACTTGAGCAGGGAGGCTGGGCCAGATGCCCCACTGTGGTCCCTTCCAACCTGACCCATTCTGGCATTCTGTGAATCCTCCTTTAGCCAAGAGAGGGGCTCTGGAGGCTCTCTTGGTCTCTGTTCTGGGGTGATTTTGGGGTTGTTGGGGTTTGGTTCCTCAGGAGGGCTGACGTTCCCCTTTGTGCTGGGCCAGGAGATGATCCCAGGGTGCTCCTTGGCAGACAGGACACAACAGCTGCTGAGGATTTTGATGTTCTCCTTGTTGATGCTCTCCTTCTCAAGCTGCTCCTTTGCATTTGCCTTTTGTTTTTTGTTTGATGCCTTTTTCACTGTGCATTCCCCATTACTTCCTTGGGAACAGAGTTAAGGATGTGTGAACGATGAGTGTGGGTGTTTTAAAAGATGCTGAGTGTTTTATTTGGGCTGGAGCTGGAGCAGATGAGATCCCGACCCATTTTAATGACACAGCAGGGATGGAGCTCTGGAAATGCTTCCCATTTTTGAGCTGTGCAGGGGGAGGGGAGAGAGGAGATGAGGTGGGGGCTGTGGTGTGAGGAGTGGGAATTGTGTCTGTGCTGTGGCTCCCCACAGGCTCCGACCACATCCGAGAGAAGGACGGGCTGTGGGCAGTGCTGGCCTGGCTCTCCATCCTGGCCGCCCGCAAGCAGAGCGTGGAGGACATCATGAAGGACCACTGGCAGAAGTACGGCAGGAACTTCTTCACCAGGTGGGGAAAGTGCTCCTGACACCTCCCATTCTCTGTCCTGTGGCAGAGCAGAGCTCTGATGGCACTGCTGTGTCACCACCAGACTGTTCCTGTGTCATTGCACTCCCCAAACACTTGGCAGAATTCCTGGGTGCCACGAAATGGTGCTTCACCATAACCCTTCGTGGTGTCCAGCTTTGGGTTGTTACTCCAGATGTAAATCTGGTACCAAAGTCTGGATATTTTATAAGTGCAAAGCACCTTTTTTTTCTTTTAATTGAGATTTTTTTTCCTTCAAGAGTAATTTTTGCCATGGGATCAATGTCCTTGAGACCCCACATCACAAGTTAATTTGTGATATCTTCAGTGACAGTAGCATCTCACAGAATGGATGCCCAGCCCTATGGCTGTTATTTACCTGGCTGAGTTCCTGTCCAGTCCCCAAATATTCAAATTTAAGCTGCAGTAGACATGGAAGATGGCAAGGGAAGGAATGAGAACCAGCCTGCACACAAGCAGAGGTGGGAACACTGTGAAAGCATTAGGCAGAAATCTTCCAGCTTGGAATATCTATGTGAAAATTCCATCTGAAGTTGCCAAATGGAAGAACTTGCCTTTCCTTTGTTTCTTTTCTTTCTTTCCCCCCCACAACTCACCAAAAACCCAGCACACATCTGAAGCATGGAAACCTGGGGGAAAAAATGCCAAAGTCTAGGATGAGAAGGCAGCATTTTAGCCCTCGAGGTGTGTGTGCAGAGCAGGCTGAGCGCAGGGGTAGGGCGGCAAACAGAGCGGCACAAATCCTGGGATCCTGGAGTGGGCTCCAGCCTCTCTCTGCTGCCTCTCCTACCCGGGCAGGGACATCAAAGCTGGCACTGGATGTTTTCCTGCTGCAGTCACAGCTGCAGTTTGCTGGGGGGATGCACTGAGGCTGTTCACAGTAACCACGAGGGAGCTGGTGGGGTGCTGTGGGCACAACTGCAGGAAATTCTTGGCAGTCACTTGGATCTTGGCCCTGGCCCTCGGTCTGTGATACTTGGTGTGAGACAGCACTTTGTGCTTTCATCTCCTGGCACCAAATGCCTGTGATGTGCTGTGCTGTATCCCAAGGATTTGTGTGGATGTGATGTAGTGCTGCACATGGATCCTTCCCTCTTTTCATAGAATCCCATACTGGGTTGGGTTGGGAGGGACCTTAAAGCCCATCCAGTGCCACCCCCTGCCATGGCCAGGGATGCCTCCCACTGTCCCAGGCTGCTCCAAGCCCAGTCCAACCTGACCTTGGGTACTTCCAGAGATCTGGGGACAGCTTCTCTGGGCAAAGTGTTCTGGTGCTTTGATGTGCCTTTTCTGCCTGTCCTGCCCTCCAGGGTGGGAGCAGAGAACACCCACAGAACTTGAGAAGGGCATCCCAAACCATCACAACTCATTGCATCCTCCCTCCCTAACCCCTGTGTGTGGTGCTGGCTGCAGGTACGACTACGAGGAGGTGGATGCAGATGCTGCCAACAAAATGATGAAGGATTTGGAGACGGTGATGTTCGACCGCTCCTTCGTGGGGAAGCAGCTGTCGAGCGGGGACAAAGTCTACACGGTGGAGAAAGCCGACAACTTCGAGTACAACGACCCCGTGGATGGCAGCGTCTCCAGGAACCAGGTGGGCACAGCTCCCCTGGGCTGAGCTGGGACTGTTTTCTCCATGTCCTGTTTCCATCTGGAGCAGTGGGTTGGGAATGCTGTGTCTGGCAGCCAGGCGCTCCCTGGCTCTTGTTTCAGGCTCTGCAGTGTGGGTTAAGGATGGGCATTAATCCCTCTGGGAGTGGGGAGAGGGGAATACAGGAGACTTCTGTGGCTCCCTGAAGAGGACAGAGGGTGCAGGTCAGGCACAGCCATGCTGGGTGATGCTTGTGAAGGCTAGACAGAGTTAAAGAATAAAGTAGGGATCTATTGAAAGGATTTCCTCAATGGATCCACTTTGGGCAGCACACGAGCCCAGCCAGGGCTACACCCAAGATGAACCAAAATGGTCACAAAATGGATGACTAGTCACAAAGTCTCTCACTTTGATCAGTTTTGCTCCATTTGCATCTTGGAGTTCATTGTCCAATTCCAGCTTTAGCCCATGACGTCCCATGCTTGTTTTTCTCTCTTGATTTTGCTGTTTATGCTCTTGGGGCTGAGATTTGGATCATTTGTCCTTGGTGCCCAGCTGGAGCAGGAATTGTTTTGTCTCCCTGCTCTGTGAAGGGAGCCCACCATTCCCTAATATGAATCTCAGAATTTCACACTAAAGCAGCACAGGATCTGAAGAAGATAAAAGCCAAACCTGAGGCACCATGGGGACCATGGAAAAGCCCTTGGCTACCCAGGAGCCCAGAGCTGAGAGCTTCCCTCCCTCCCTCCCTCCCAGGGCTTGCGGCTCATCTTCTCCGATGGCTCCCGCATCATCTTCCGCCTGAGCGGCACCGGCAGCGCCGGGGCCACCGTGCGCCTCTACATCGACAGCTACGAGAAGGATGCTCAGAAGATCAACCAAGACCCACAGGTGGGTGCTGCACCTCACTCCTGCCACTGCTGGCTGCCAGAGCTCAGCACTTTCTTAGCCCTGTTTTGCTTGGAGCTGCGTGGATGTGCCAGAGGTTTGTATCTTTCATGCCAGTATAAATAGGATTATTTAAAAAAAGCTCAGTGTGGAGTAAGTATTCTGGGAATCCCTCACGGCTGCCTCTGCCACAGCACAGTTTTCCTGTCTGTGTTATCCCTGTGCCTGCTTTAAAAAAAAATCAGTGGATCACAGGATGCAGCTGTACCTGAGGTGAGACTGCCCTGTTTTGTACTGAGTTCAGAAAATGTTTTGCAACATCATTTGCAAATGCTGCTGAGCTCTTGTAGGCACTGGAGGAGAACAATCCTCCTCTTATATTCAGGTTTAGCCTGGATATAAGGATATCAGGAAAGGGTTTTTCACTCAGAATATGAAGAGGCTCCCCAGGGAATGGGCACAGCCCCAAGGCTGCCAGAGCTCCAGGAGTGTTTGGAAAACACTCCCAGGGACAGGGTGGGATTGTTGGGGTGTCTGTGGAGGGCCAGCAGTTGGACTGAATGATCCTCGGGGATCCTTCCAACTCAGGATATTCTTTGATTCTGTATTCCCCAGCAAACACTCTGTGGGCTCTTTGTGACTAACTTACTGTGCCATAATTAACAAAAAGACTGAAAATCCCCCATTCTGGGGGTGGAGGGGAATTTAGGATTTACTTGTCCTGTGCTGACGTGGAGTTTGGGATACAGCAGAGGGAGAGCGGCAGCAGCGCCACTGGAGCTTGGGATTTTCTCTGAGCACTTCATCCCTGTCCCTGGTCCCAGAGCTCAGGCTGTGAGCCCCAGTCAGTCAGGAGAGCTGAGCTTTGGGTGTCCCAGGCTGACCTGGATGCGAGGGATGCGGCGTGGGAAGGCTGCATGTGCAGCTCTGCAGTTCTGAGCCCTCTCTTTCCTCCCTGCAGGTGATGCTGGCACCTCTCATTTCCATTGCACTGAAACTTTCCCAGCTCCACGAAAGGACCGGCCGCTCGGGGCCCACCGTCATCACATAGAGCCACCCTGGGCTGGAGCGAGCACTGGGGCAGCCCAGCCCCTTCCCCTGGCAAATTGTCACTAAAAGAGGAATATTGATTTTATCCCTGTATTTAAGAACACTGTTTTGCTGCTAAGGATAGACAATAAACCCCAGCCCTCAGCACCCCTTGTCCCTTATGCTGCTTCTCTTTGTCCCCAGCACTGCTGGAGGTTGGGTGTGGTGCTCCTTACACAACTTTTGAGGCAGCACGTGGACTCCTGGCTTTTCCTTAAACAAAAGGCTCTAGGAATAACAGGGGACACTAAATTCTTCAATAATTCACAGGCTTTTTTTTTACTACCTTGGAAACTTTCCTGGGAAAGAAGCACAAATACTTTATCCCAGTTCGGATGAACTTGTTTGCTTGAATGGGGACAAGTAAGAGCCTTGGAATAATCAGATTTGCAGGCATTAATGTGAAATATCTTATCCAAGGGCACAGAGAGGGTCACTTTGGAGACAGCTGTAGCTTGGTTTGATGTTAAGGCTGTACAGATGCACCTTCCTGCCCTTTTCCTGGAAGTACTCCCATTAGTAGGGCGAGTTTAGGTCCTATCCCCTCTTGGTTTGCTTGCCTTTGCCACCCAAATCCTGCAATCTCTGTGTCCCATCTCATCTTCTGCACAGGGCTGAAACTTAGGCTGGGTCCCTGGGCAGGCCTGGGGGAGCAGCTCTATTACCCAGGAATGTGGAAATCCCACCCTCATCCCAGCCTGCCAGCACCACTTCCAAGGGAGTCTGGATGTGCTGACAAAAGGCTTTTTATCTCACCTGTGCACAGGTGAGAGGTCTCTGCTGCTCCATCTGCACTGACAGTTCTGCTGTGAGGTGGATAAAAACCTTCAAAAACCAGATGCAAATAAGTCTAAAAAATGAGGTAGGGCCCTGTGCTGAGGCTGGGAGAGCTTTGTTTTCCACGCTGTGATCCTGTGCCTGCCCAGTGCTTCCCTTGGCAGGATTGTTCCAGAGGTTTCCCTCCTGGCTGGCTGCAGAGCACTAAACCAGGAAGCTGGGATTAGTGGGGGAAAAACAATTTGCCTGCTCTAATTTGCCTTTCAAGCATTGTGTGAACAAGTGACCCTGGAGTTTATGGTTGGCCTCTTGTTAAAGCAGGGCAGTCCTGGGTCCCTCCTAATGGAACTGTGAGTGTTTTCCAGTCAAACTGTGCTAAAAGCTGCTCTCTGCCCATTCTGGTGCTAACAGCTCACTGGTGACACACAGCTCTCCTCTTCTGGGGCTCCCAGCTTCTTTCAGCACCTTCAGAAGGAGAGGCAAAGTTTCCTGTGCTCTCATGGCTCTATCTGGGCTCAGTTCCTCCAGCTGCTCCTTCCCACCACACCTACAGGAGCTGCAAAGTAGAGCCCAAAGTGTTTCCCCTGTGACAATTTGTGCTGCCCTTGCCTCTCGGGCTGATGGGATTTGGAGCTTTGTGCCATGGGGGAATGTTCCTACAACTCCCTGCCAGGACACTGGAACAAAGTGAGGATTGGGCTCTTCTCTGATACTGGCCACTCAGCAAGAGGAAGCTGCACCATGGGAAGTTTAGGTTGGATGTTTGGGAAAATTTCTTCCCCAAAAGCAGCTGCCCAGGGCAGTGGTGAGTCCCTGTCCCTGGAGGGGTTTCAAAGCCATGTGGGTGTGGCACTTGGGGACATGGTTTAGTGGTGACAGTCTGACTCAATGGTCTGAGAGGGCTTTTCCAGCCTGAATGATTGTGTGGTTCTGTGGCTGCTGGCCAGCGATCCCTCTGGGGAGGCCTGGCTGGATTTGCCTCTGGGTCACTGAGCAGGATGCAGCTCTTGGCAGCTGCCCCAGTGCCAGCACGCCCCTGAGTGCACAGCACATGCAGGGAAAGTGGCTGTGGTTCAGGATAGCTGGTGCAGCTCCAGGTATGGGAGACTCCTGAGGTTCACTTAGTCCTGATTTGCTCAGGAAATCCACTTTTACCCCCGAGCTGGATCCTGGTGGATCCCTTCCAGGTGAGGCACAGAGCAGGAACAGGGGAGCACGGTCAGTCTGTGCAGCATCGATGGGCTGCCTTTGCCAAAGCCGTGGCCACGGGGGGTTTGCAGAGACTCAGCCCCTCTGCAGATGGAGATTTGCATGAAAAATGACTCCTGCTCTTTCTCTGCCTCTCTCCAGGCCAGAGCTCAGGACTCCTGTCCCAGAGGAGCCCGATGAGATCCAGATGTCTCAGCTGTAATAACCTTTACGTAAGGCAGGATCTCATTTCTGGGCACAGTTTGCACTGCACAGAGCTGGAAACACATCCCAAGAACTTCCTGGGAAGAGCAGAGCCCAGAGCAGAGCTCAGCCCAGCCCCAAACTGTGCTCAGGAATTCCCTGTCCCAGCCTGGCTGCTCGAGCAGAGGTGCCATGGCCAGGAGTTGAGCTGGCAGCAGTCAGTGTCCAGGGTTGTCCCCCAGTGTCCAGGGTGACTCCCAGCACGAGGGAGATGGTTGAACTCCTGTTCTTGAGGCACAAAAGCTCTGAAATCCTGGGTTTCTGGAGGATTTTCCACTCTGGAGGTGCAGTATCTCTCTCTAGATGGCAGCATTGGTAAAGAGTCTCTGGGCCACCACCAGCCGAGGCAGGGTCTTGCCACACCTCACTCTGTTGTGACTTCATCAATAATCCTGGGATTCAGTCCCAATTCCTGAGTTTCTGAAGCCTTGGTGAGTGCCCAGGCTGCCCAGCTGGTCCCTAAGGATGGGCTCCTATGCAGAAATATTGGCATAACCCACAGGTTTGACACTACCTAAAACAGCTCAGGAAAACACTGCAAGTGCTTTTATTGATGGGGTAGTTCCACATGATAAAATCCAAAATCTGACCCCCAGATCTTCAGCACATAGAGTTTTGGGCAAAATTTCCAGGTACTACTGAAAATAATGTGTTCTTTGTCATGTTCCTATCACAGCACTGACAGCCTGTGCCCAGGCTCAGGTGGAGAAAGTGGCAGCAGAAGAACTAAAAAAATTCTGAAATGAAATCAAATCCCATTTGTTCCTTCAGTTTTCAGACACTGACCAGCTTGTCTCATCCCTTCCCTCAGTATTCCCTCACATTCCCAGCCGTGGGAGGCTCTGGGAAGATCCCAGAAATGCTGAACTGGGACCAGAAAAAAGCAGGGCCAGGCTGGGACCAAAGAGTTCTGGTGAAGGACCAGGTCAGGGAGGAGTGGTAAGAATGGGACAGGATCAGGATGTGGTGCTGGGGTGGAGGTGGGAGCAGTGGGGTGGAATATATGGAGACTAGGAGGGATAAAAGCTCCAAAACAGGGAAGGATTTGGTTTTACTGCCTTTGTTTTCACAGGCTGTGATTATGAGCCAGAATCCACAGGGATAAGAGCCCTATTCCCCATCCCGAGCAAAAGCTTCACAGGTCAGTGCTGCCCCTGCTGCTCCCAGCACCCCACCTGCACTCAGCTCTGTGAACTTTCTCTCTCCTCTGGGCCCAGTTCTCAGCTCCACACGTACAGCTTGATTGCAGGGAACAAATGAAGTTTTAATTAGGATGAGGAATCCTGGTGAGGAGCAGCAGTCAGGTCTGAAATGCATCCAGGCTCCTCGTGTGAGAGCAGCCAAGGCCGCAGCTGTCGGGATGGGTCTGAGCAATGGTGGGGATCAGATGCTCCCAGGGCTGCTCTGGGAGAGCTGGGGGGGCTCCCCTGGAGAGGAGAAGGATCCAGGGAGAGCTCAGAGCCCCTGGGAATGTTCCCCTGGAGAGGAGAAGGATCCAGGGAGAGCTCAGAGCCCCTG